TTTTAAAGAAACTCTCTTATATGGAAGAGATTCATTGACCTTTGAAGATGTTCAATCTGCCTTTTACTTTAAGGATTTGAACGAATGAAAGGAGCAAAAACCATCTTTTGTTGGTGAAGATTTGTCTGTTAAGGGGAAATTCTTTAAAAAAATGGTAGGTTTAAGAAGAAGAAGGGTAAAGTTCTACATAATTCTTATGGTGGTAATGCTCCTATTATTATGTGTTTCATTGTAAGAAGGAGGGTCATACAAAAAAGTATGCCTTGATCGACTGAACAATCATAGTGGAAAGGATAATGGTAATGTAGCCATTTTGCAAGATAGTTATGAATCATCTGATGTCCTGGTGGTTTTAAGCAGCGACTCTAGCAAGGAGTGGATTATGGATTCAGGGTGTACTTAGCACATGACTCCAAACAAAGACGTGTTTGAGGAATTGTGTGATAAAGATGTTGAATCAGTGTTGTTGGGAAACAACAAAGCTTGCAAAATTGTAAGTATTGGATCTATGAGATTCAAGCTTCTTAATGAGTCAATAAGGCTATTGACTGATGTTAGGTATATACCTGATCATAAGAGGAATTTTAATTCTCTTGGTGAATTACACAAGAAATGATATGTTTTCAAAGGAGAGCAAAGCATCCTAAGGGCAATGAATGGGTCGAAGGATGTCTTGAAAGGCGTGAAGAAACAAGGCTTGTATACCTTTGAGGTTGAGGTTTCAAAATTTGGAAGACTCTAGTCGAAAACCAAACTAGCAAGTAAATCAAGAGGTTGAGGGTCGATAACGGTCTTGAATTTTGCAAGAGACAGATCAAGAAGAGTAATCAAGCTACCTTAGAGACTTGGTTATGCAAATTACATAGTTTATGCCTTAATCTCTGCAAGCGAGGTTCTTGAAGAAAAACCTAGAAACTATAAGGAAGTCATGAGGAGTCGAAATAAGACTGAATAACTGAAAACCATGGATGATAAGATAAAATCTCTTAATGATAATAACATTTGGGAGCTGTAATCAAGAAACATGCAGGGGCCCGGTTAGTCAGTTAAAAGTGTATTTTCAAGGTTAAGAAAGGAATCAAAGGAGTGATGTCAAAGCGTTTTAAGGCAAGGTTGGTTTCTAAGGGGTTCACTAAAAAAAAAGGTGTCGACTTTAATGATGTGTTCTCACCTGCTCTAAAGCATAGATCGATTAGAATGTTGTTAGCCATGGTAGTAAAATTCGACTTAGAACTTGAACAGATGGATGTGAAGACAACCTTTCTGTATGATGATCTAGATGAAATAATCTTGATGAGGCAACCTGAAGGGTATGCAGAGAAGGGAAAGGAAGACTATGCGTGCAAGCTGAATAGGTCTTTGTATGACCTGAAATAATCTCATCGATAATGGAATAAGAGATTCGACAAGTTCATGGCACACATTGCTTTCAATAGGAGTTGGTTTGACCACTATGTTTACTTCAGATTTTGACCTGGAAATTCACTTGTTATTTTGTTGCTTTATGTGGATGATATCCTCATAGCAAGAAAAAGTGTTGAAGATGTTATGAAGGTGAAGGATGAACTCGCTAAGGAGTTCAACACGAAGGACTTGGGAGCAGCCTTTGGAATTCTTGTGATTGACATCCAGAGAGGTAGAAAGCAATCAAGATTATGCTTGTCTCAAAAAACATACCTGAAGAAGATTATTGACAAGTTTGGTATGTCAAACTCAAATCCTGTTCTAACATCGACTAATCCTCAATACAAGCTGAGCATGACTCAAAGTCCTAGTACTGAAGTTGAAAGAGCCTATATAAATAGAATTTCATGTGCTAGTACAATAGGTTCTTTGATGTATGTTATGATTTATATGAGGCCAAGCATAGCATACGGAGTGAGCCTAGTAAGCAGGTATATGGCCAATCCTGAGAAGGAACACTAGTAAGAATTAAAGTGGATTCTGAGGTGCATCAACGGGTCTCTGGGAAAAGTCCTGATTTATGGTGGAGCCTGTGGTGATGATAGCAAAGTCGAAATCGAAGGATTCGTCGACTCTAATTTTTCAGGTTGTATGGATTCTAGAAAATCTATTTATGGATATGTGTTCACTATGTTTGGCACAATAATTAGTTGAAAAATAACACTTCAGAAGGTTGTTGCCTTATCAACCACTGAAGCGGAGTATATCGCCCTCACTGAAGCTGTGAAAGAAGCACTGTGGCTTGAAGGTTTTTCTAAAGAGCTAAAACTTTAAGGTCAAGTTATAACTGTTAAATGTGATAGTCAAAGTGCAATACACCCGTCAAAGAATTCAACCTATCATGAGTGAACCAAGCACATCGATGTGAGGTTACACTTTTTCAGAGAGATAATAGAGCTTGGAGAATTCCAAATGCTAAATATTTTAACTGATCATAATGTTGCTGATATGATCACCAAGATATTACCAAGTAACAAGTTTTTTCCACTGTATGCAGTTGATAAAGTTGCATGATGAAAGCTAATTTGTTTCTTTGTGAATGTAGAGTTTGTTCTAAGATGGGGATTTATGGTATTTGGGTCGAGCTCTGGTATTGAAAAGGGTAGCTTCATGGTTCGACAGGAGTTGTGTAAGCTTTAGTCGAAGTTTGTTCGAGCATATTGTCGAAACATGTTAGCTTTGTATTTAAGTTAGCATATCAAATTGGGCATTGATTGTAAGGCCAATTGTTAAGTTACCTTGTAACCTAAGTTAGCTTAGTAGTATATAAATAGACTAGGTTGTTGAGAGAGGTTATTGTTGTTGTTCACATGTAATCTTTGAACTTTATTAAGAAACTGAATACTAAAACAGTTTTAACCAATTCTTCCTTTTCTTCTTTCTTTCTTCTTCTCTCTCTTTCATAAAGCCTAATAGTGTTTCTTGTGTTTGTTCAAGAAACTCACTCTTTATCTCATAAATTTGTTTCGCTATTTACGACATCGTTTCACAACAACGTAAATATGGATTTAGTAGGGTTATTGATTGGTTTGTTTGGTGTGTTAACTTGACCTCTTGTCTTGTGTAAGTTATTTTCGATGAAACTTTATCGAATTAGTGTTGTTTGTTAGGTTGAGCACCCCTTGTTCTTTATTAATTGATTTTTCCTTGCTTATAAAAAAAGGGTGAATGATGAAAAGTTGAAAAAGAAGCAACACAATGTGTTATTTCTTTTTTCAGTTTTTTATCATTCAACATTTTCTTTTTAGGTTGTAATTGTCTCACTAGATAATACAAATTCTTATTTACTGAACAAATAGTTATGCTTTTATGAAATAGATAAATTATATACAAAAACAAATGTTTATATTTCAAAATAAATTTTATTTTGTTAAGTCTAAAATATCAAAAATTCGGAAAAGTGACAAAAAAATACAAAATTTGAAAAGACACCGTTAACATGAGAACACAAATCTAACATATTATCTAATCATTCTAATGAGCTAGAGCATAAACAATTCCCCTTATAAAAAATTTAGTCTTCTCTCTAGGATACATAACCAAGATTGAGAGACGCAACCAAGATGAAATGATATCTATTTTTAATTTAAAAATAAAATAGAAAGGCGCTAGGAGTCAAACTCATGATCGGTCAGTTTTTATTATGTATTTTTAGTTTAAAAATAAACTAAGAAGTCGAACCCATGACCTGATAAAATTTTCTCTTTAATTTGATTTTTCAATCGAGGAAAAATATAATATAATTTTAATTTTAAAATAATTATTAAAAAAAAAACAATTTTTAAACTTTCGCTTTGAACCTAAATACATCATGTAAGAATTTTGTTAAAAAATATATATTTATTTATCGAATATACATCTTCTGAAATTTAATATAAAAAAATTATTTTTTAATTTATTAAATAATTAATTATTTTTTAATTTATTTTTTAATTTATTAAAAAAATTATTATATATATATATATATATATATATATATATATATATATATATATATATATATATATATATATATATATATATATATATATATATATATATATATATATATATATATATATATATATATATATATATATATATATATATATATATATATATATATATATATATATATATATATATATATATATATATATATATATATATATATATATATATATATATATATATATATATATATATATATATATATATATATATATATATATATATATATATATATATATATATATATATATATATATATATATATATATATATATATATATATATATATATATATATATATATATATATATATATATATATATATATATATATATATATATATATATATATATATATATATATATATATATATATATACACTTTTATTTTATTTTAGAAACCACAGAGTATAATTAATTATTTGAGATACGGTTTTAATGAAAAAGAGAAAATACTCTTTGAACAAATTAAAAGATAAATAAATCTTAATAATTACAATATAACTTTTTGTCAACTTTTCTATGATTAAACTTATTTATATTATCTTAGTCAGCTTATTTTCTATTTATTATTTTATTCTAATTTTTTCCTTCTATTTAACTGTATTATTAGTAAAATAATAATAAACTTTTTAAAAATAACATATAGATTCTAAATAAATTACCATAGAAAAAGTTATACTTAAAAAGGAAAAAGTTGAAAAGAATGATATAAAATACCTTTGATTATATTAATAGATAGAAATTCAACAAGATAATAAATTTCTTCTATATAAGCAAAAGAAAATTTCACTATCATATTTTTTCTTTCTTTCTCTTTAAGCAATTCACACCTTGTGTTCACACCTTACCCTCCATCTACATATATATATTCTTCCTATCTTTTCCTTCTCTCTCATCTTTTCCCTCTCTCTCTCTCTCTCTACCTCTCTCCCTCTCCTCCATAGCCAAAAACATCATACCTTCATCTTCTCTTCTTACACGACTTTGCAAGATATTGAATAACTAGAATTCATCTTTTGCTCTTGTTTTTTTATTCAATTTTCAATGGATGGTCATCATCTCCATCATCATCAACATCAACAACATCAACAACATCAACAACATCATCATCAACAACAACAACAACAAAGACAACAACAACAACAGCAACATCAACAACATGTTCAAAACATCATAGGAACTAGCAGTCTTAACATGGATGTCACAGATAGGTTCCCTCAATGGAGCATCCAAGAAACAAAGGAGTTTCTGATGATCCGTTCAGAGCTTGATCAAACTTTCATGGAGACAAAGAGAAACAAACAGCTTTGGGAAGTTATCTCCAACAACATGAAGGAAAAGGGTTATCATAGAAGTGCTGAACAGTGCAAGTGCAAATGGAAAAACCTTGTGACTCGCTATAAGGTACTTTTGTTTACCTTTTCAATTTGTTAAAGGGTAGGGTAAAACTATGAATATTATATAGCATATAGCACTTTAATTAAAATATTGTGAGAACTTTATTTTTGTGTTTGAGATATAAAGGGATGTGAAACAATGGAGATAGAAGCTACAAAGCAACAGTTTCCATTTTACAATGAGCTTCAAGCTATATTTAGTGCAAGGATGCAAAGAATGCTATGGGCTGAAGCAGAAGGAGGGTCAAAGAAGAAAGGGATGCATGCATCTTCTGAGGAGGAAGAAGAGTTAGGAAATGAAGAGAGTGAAGGAGATCATAAGGGTAACATTGGCAAAAAGAAGAAGAAAAAGGGAAAAATGGTGGAAGGTGGTAGCAACAATTTGAAGGAGATTCTTGAGGAGTTTATGAGGCAACAAATGCAAATGGAAGCTCAATGGATGGAAGCATTTGAGGCAAGGGAGAATGAGAGGAGGATGAAGGAGATGGAGTGGAGACAAACAATGGAAGCATTGGAGAATGAGAGGATGATGATGGAACAAAGATGGAGAGAGAGGGAAGAACAAAGAAGGGTTAGAGAAGAAGCTAGGGCTGAAAAGAGAGATGCATTAATCACTGCTCTTCTTGATAAGCTTACAAGAGAAGATAAGTAGTAGTTTAATTTCTTTGATATTTTGTTTTGTGAAAACTTGTTTTTGTTTATTTATCATCATCATTCTAGTGCTTTAGACATTTTTGTCTAGTTCTTTGAATTTTTTTAGAATTGTATGACATAAGTTAAATTGTTTTATGATCAAGTGCTTATTTAGACAATGCAATAAAAACATAGGAAAGTGCTTATTTAGACATTTCAATTATTTGTTGAATCTCAATTAGTAATTAGGGTGATGATGATGATGAGACTATTGATCTCTATATCACTTCACTCGGTTCTTATATCACTAATTAAGATATATATGATTAGTAGTGGATTAAATTAAATATTTATTTTCAAAAAAGTGTTGAATAAATTTTTAGAACCCCTAGTACTTTAAATTTAAATGGATGGACAGGAGAAATTAATTTTCAAATTCTTTGCTTTCTTTCAATTGTGAAACATAATTTTGTTTTATATATTTTCTTCCAATCTTCTTATTTCCATTGAATTGTAAAATATTTAGATTTTGTTATTCGATCTCTTCATTTTCTTTTGATTGTGAAACATCTAGATTTTGTTTGATATTTTTTTCGATTGTGAAATATTTCTATTTTGTTTTATGATAGATCTTATTTCGACTTAGAAACTTCTAGATTTTGTTGTTCAATAAATTAGAATAAAATTTAATTTTAATATTCTTAGCATGGTTGTCTCTATTTTTTATTGATACAGGGTATTATATATATATATTTCATAAGATTATGCATATTAGTAGGTGTAATAGAGTGCCTAGCCAACCACCAAAATGGGGTAAAACAATCCACAAAACTTTGTTCTTAGATAATGCTCATCATAATGTCTATCCATATATGGAGACGCACAATTTTAAGGTTAATGGAGCATTTACTCAAATGACTCACTAGACATAATGTGATGTTATTTTCAGTTTGATAGATGATAGACGTACATATATGAAAATAGAAGAATTTGTTATTTGTAAAGTTTTCTATTTAAATGGATGATGCTATAACTATTTTTATATACTTCATATATGTAATGTATATTGATATATTAGTGATGTAAATTGTTAGGTAAGGTTGAGATATAGCTCTACAAATGAAGAGATAAAATCAAGCTTAAATTGTTAGGTTTTTTATGATAGCTAGTTTATCATATTAGGAACTGGAAAAAATAATCATTCTCAGGTAAGAACTTAAGACTTTGTTAATATACTGTAAAAAAAAAAAAATTATTAATATAATATGGGCAGATATACAATCTTGTAAGCAGTATTTTAATAAATTGATTTTTTTGAATAATATACAAATATAATGATAAGAAAATTATAAATTTGTTGAATTTAAATGTAAATGATTATGATTAATCTAACATCGATCATGAGTGAAATAAAAGTTACATATTATAAATGACTTATATATTTAATATCTTAAGATTTTATACGAATATGTAATATCTTTATTTTTTATGTTTATAAATTGTTTAATGCTCTCGATTTCAAATGTGAGTTATGGTGGTTATTTCCAAACCCACACTGTAAGATTTAAATATAGGATACAAGACCATTGGAATGTCATAAAATTTTGAATTTAAATTTAGGTTTTAGAATGTGGTGTCACAACCTCTTCTTCATGGTTTTAAATTTTTGAATATTTTGTATAAGTTAATTACACTTTAAATGTGTCAAATCAAATATGAATCCTATTTTAAAATGATTTAATTGTGATAAATATTTTTGTTAAAAATTAAATCATATGTAATACTCAGTCTTAGACACTCTCAAAGACCGTCTATGATCAATTATTAATAAATTATTTGATTGAGTTTTTGATCGTTAAATTATTTAATTGAAAAATTTCTGTCCTCATCTATCTATTTATTTAAGTGTTTTTCCTTGAAACAATTTGTGTGAATAATATCTTTGTTGTTATTGAAACAAATATAACAATTAGTTCCAAGAAAACAGTTGGTTCCATAATTGTGACTGGCTTAGAATGATTTGTTGGACCCAAAAAACAATGGGCTATATGTGTGCTACATGCTCACCGACATAAAAACACAAATCACTTCCAACGCGTTAAAGTTGAAAATTATTTACACTTACGACAACACTTATCATAACTTATGTTCTGTCTTTGCAACATTTCATATAGCCAAAAACTTATGTCGGGTCTTTCATACTCGATAACAACTTTTCATACTCTAGTTTTTTTTTTTATTCAAATAAATAATTTTACCTGATTTCATTGTTTTAGTGTAATGTTGTGTTGATTTTTTTTATTATAGCGTTATGTTATTTTATTTGATTTAAATTGATAGATTAGTTTTGATTCAATTTATATTTATTTAATAATTTTGACGTCGTTAATATTGTAGATTTAAAAACATAAGTAATTTTAAACATTTCAATTTTATTATATTTATAAACTTTGTCATATTTATAAACATTTTACTGACGTTGCTAAATTTTTTTCACAAATTCATTATTTTTAATTTGTATTATTCGATGTATTCTATTAATTTAAATAAATATTGCTTTAATAAAAAATAATAATAATTTCAAAATGTTATTACACTTTTTTAATACATGTAACATAACATAATTAAAATGAGATGTTCAAGAAAATCCTTTGATTACAAACGCGTTTTCATCAGAGAACATTTATCAAATTAAAAGTAAAATTTACTCTTTTTTAAAATAATAATATTGCGGTCATTTTTTTCTTCTTGAATATTCCAAATAGTCAACCAAGTTCAGAACAAAACCTGACACATGTTCAAGAATTTTTTTGATTAAACAAATTTAAATAAAATAAAGTAAAAAATGTTGAGATTAATTTCGTAGAAAGTCAGAATCGGACTCACATTTTCAATTTACTTTTCTTTCCATCGTTATTTTATTCAATTTTTTTTAATTAAACTATCGTTAACTTTTGAGTTAAAATATTAGTTTGATTCTCCAATTGATTGGACTTTGAAGGAACTTAACATGCTGACCCTATTCGTCCTATAATGTTTATTAGTTTCAATCTTTTGAATGGTAATAATAATTAACATGGGGACTCCAAGTTCCACCATTTTATATACAGAATGTTTGTTTGTCCAAATTGTTGTTTATAACCATTATTTTTTAAATGCGAATAATTAAAGTTTTTATTATAATAGATTTTGTAATATAAATACAATAGTTTTTCATGTTGTTTAAATTTTATGTTATTTAAGGGTATAAAAATTTGAGAAAATTGAGACATTCATAATTATAGGCCGACATTATTATTCTTTTTTTAAAAATAAAATAAAAGAACCCTCATATTAATTCTTGGATGTTCCCTGTTGGGCTAATCAAAGGAATCTTAGTACTTTGTCGGTGCAGATTTCTTAGTACTTTGTGGGTGCGGATAGTTCCAAAACAAAATTTTAACAGAGATACTCTTATGATTACACTTTCATCTTTAGAAAATATGATAAAAAGTTAAACTACATGAAGAAAAAAAAGTTATAGAATTGTATTGACGGTTTAATCATGAGTAAATCTAAAATTTTGTGAGTAAAATTCAACACTAAAATATATTAATACATTATTTTTAGAAAATTACCTGCGGCTCAACTTTGGCAACGTTTTGTGTATTTTCGAAAATTTATCCACAACTTAATTGTGGATAAACTATGATTTCTTTTAAAATTTAAAATTTACTTGATTCATAAGTTATATTCTCAAAATGGATTGGGCTTAACATGTCCATACAATAAGATTTTAACTTATCAACTTACATTTTGTATTTGGTATCCCTAATTTTGAATATTTTCAAAATATCCTTGATAATATTTATCTATTAAATTTTATTATTTTTTCAAAATTTTTACTTTTTTAACATCTCAAAACGAAATTTCCGAAATTTTAGTACGTTATTTTTTTGTATTTTTTGAAAACTCACGCATTTATATCAGAAATTTGAAAAAATCTGATACAAAATACCATAAATTTGAAAAAATTTGGTATCCAATATTAGAAATTGTCAAAATTTCTGGTAACTTACAAAAACTTTCGGAAATTTGCAAGTTTCTGATATACCGAAATTTTCGGTATCAAAACAGAAATTCGGAAAATGTTTTATTTGTGTGGTCCTGAACCGACATGGTCATCTACAGATTCGTGTAACAGTTGTACGCAATTCTTCACCACATACAAAGTATATTTTCTATGTAAAAAGTTTAAATTAAATATTTTTCGCCCTTATATGATATTGATATTATACTTTTTGTGTGATGTAAATGGTAGATATTTGAGTCCCAATCTAGTATTAGCCTGGACACAAAATATTGGCAAGCAACATGGTATTATAGTTCTGGTTGTTCGTTCTAATACTGCAAATGGCCAGCGAGGTAGGAAAGATAAACTGATTATAAATTGTGAGAGAGGAGAAATTTATTAAATGAAGAATTCATCTAAAAGCAATAAATCCTCATAGGACATTTATAATATGAAAGTGAAATGCCCTTTTAGGCTAAGATCTGCGTCGAGTGGTAGCGGTTGTAAAGTGATGGTTAGGTGTGGGTTTCACAATCATAAACTATCTGAGGATTTAGAAGGCTATGACATATTAGGTCGTCTAAAAGTTCATGAGAGATAGTTTGTGAATGACATGACGAAGTACAACATGGCTCCGCAGTACATAGTTTCTGCCTTGAAAGACAAAGATTCAGAAAATCTCATCAGTATTACCCAACTATATAAAGCTAGAGCTACATAAAATGCGAGCAAGAGAGGTACATTGACGGAAATGCAAATATTGTTGACTCTTATTCATAGAGAAAAATATATGTGTTGGACAAGAAATATGGAAGACTCAAATGTTGTTATTGATATCTTCTAGACACATCTTGATTCAGTGAGGTTGTTGAATATGTTTCACTTGGTGTTGATTGTTGATTGTACATACAAGACAAATAGGTAACATGCTACTTGATCATACCTTGATATCATTTTCACATACTTTA